CATGCATGATTATGATCTGTTGGCTGTTGCAGGACACGTATATATTTATGTCTCACTTCGATTTGGATTTAATTAGGCCTCATAATGGTCTCCAGCAAAACTCATAATATATGTGGGCAAGACTCAAGAAAAAATCTTAGCATACTTTATTATGTTTTCCTCAATTTTGTTTCATTTTGATGAGTTGGGAGCAATTTTTTGGGTTTTCACACAAAAAGTTTGCATGTTATTCTTATAGATTGGTAATATCTAACTGGCCCCTCTCCCTTCTTTTGCAGAAACATGAGGAAAATCAGAAGAATTCTAAAGTTCTTTCTGAAGCTAATTTATGAGACATAACAAAACATACATGCATAAGAGCTTGAGGATAGAAGAACACAGAAGAAAATGCCTAGATAGAGGAGAATGAGCTAAGCCAGAAAAAGAAAGACGAGAAAACAATTATTTTAGATGGTGTAAGCTTCTTATTACAATGAGTTGGCTCTTTTAGTACACCAATTTGCTGATTTTATGTTTCAACACTTTTAACAAAATGCAGGAAAATGTCCAAAAAACAAACTTTGATGTAGCAATGAGATGCAAGATGACGAACAAATCTTGGACGCTAACCAAATCAGAAGCAAAGCGGAACGTATGAGATATTTTGGTAATGGCTAGCATATGTCGAGGTAAGCCCGCAACATGAACGAGAAAACAAGATATGTTCTGAAGCGATTGTTTAGCGTCTCTTTATCCTTCATTTCGTGCTTCTACCACAACTAAGTTAAAATTGTCTCCATTGTACTAACTAAAATTCCTTGCATTTTTCTTTCTCCCAAGGTTGGTCTTCAAAACGAAATAGCTTGACAAAGTCAGGGACAATGCAAATTGGTAAGAGGTAAGAGTAGTAGACAGTGTAACTCCGTTGCTATGTGGATTTGACCAGGGAAAAAGGGATAAGAGGCCATATGAGCATTCTCCGAAAGATTATTTGTAGGCATCTCCTATCTAATCTTTCTAATATATTGCATGCAAGTGGGATTTGGATTTGATGTTAAGCTGATCAAGCAGGTGTCTGAATTTATTGAGAATGCCGGAGAGCTGAAAGCAAAGGATGTCGCTGAGATCATTTGTTTTGTTGGTAAGCCGGTAACTATGCATGTTCGAATACCATGTATGTATTGATATATGCCTCTATAAGTTTGTGGAATACATGTGTATTCTTATAAAATCATTTGTTAGTCAAACATGGGACAAGTTCTTAGCAAAAAAAAACGAAAACGTTGTCAGGATTCAGGGGGATTCATAAGAGAGGGAACAAAATGTGTATTCACTTTAAATTAAGTTAAAA